GAGGCAGTGCCTGGCGCTCGCTGCGGGGGCTGCGGGCAGGGCTGGGAGGATGGAGGAACCTGCGCTCGTCTGTCTGCGTGCTCGCACAGAACTCCAGGGAACGGGCGTGCGGTGTCCCGGCGGGCCCCTGCCCTCAGCGGGGGATTATCTAGCAGGGCAGGGAAATGTCACCACTCGGTTTTCAGCGCAGCCCACCAGCCGAGTGGGCCAGGGGAGCACGGCTTGCAGGGGGTACCAGTGCCGCGGGTGCTGTCTGGACCCCCTGCGCTGCCTTCCTGTCAGCAAAGCGCTGGAGCCAGGAGGGGAAGAGTTTTTCCCCTGTTGCCAAGGCTGGAAAGTTTAACCACAGGGTGTACGGATGTTTCCACAGCCTTAGGAGGTTTGTATCCCACACACCACCCTATTGCTGTGTAACAGATGGTGATGAGACATGCTACCTGCTGAAGATAAAAGCTTTCAGCTATTACTTTTGAAGGTATCTACTTGCAAGCATGTGGATTTTTAACGGCTGAGGGTTAAACTACACCTTCTAGTTGGCCATGGGACAGTAGTAAGAGCATCTGGGAGCTATTGCCACATGACTACAGTCAATATTAGTGTAAACCTGTGCTGTTTGCCCTTCTGACATGCTGCACACCTCAACCACAAGCTTAGAGCTCTCAAAGACACAATAAGTAACACCATAAAACACTATGGGTCTGAAAGCAGTTTATGATGCAGCAACTTTGAAGTGTTTTTGTCTCAGATCAAGTTTAGCAGTGTTTGAATAAAAAGCCAGATGCTACTCATTAACATGTAAAATGATCGTGCATAGTGAGAAATGTCAGCTGAGACAGATGATCTGGACATCATTTATAATCTCTTTGAATGGTCATAAGCAGTGAAAAAGTCAAGTTAGGAGAACCAGATCTCTAAAATAGATGGAATGTACTTCAGACGAGTCAGACACCAGTGTTGTATTCAGTTTCACTTTACATAGGACAGTGCAAGTAGTTCAGTTCACACCCAGATAGAAATAACATGGCTGATGTGATTAATATGTACATAAATTCTCACCTTGACATGTTTGCATTTTTGACCTTTTACGACTGCTGTTAGTAAGTCACAGACATTAAAGACGTTCTATTCTCTATACCCCTCAAATTTTCACCCTGGCAGCTTCCCCTTGCCCAAATCTCCATACTCCCATGGAAAGAAGCATCAGTTTGCTCTCTCTTACATGTCAGAGCAGAAGGGGAAAAGGGGAAGAATACACAGGTTTGCAGATTCTTGTAGGAGAAAGGTGTCAGAGACAAAAGTCAAAGCTTTTTTTTTTCCACAGAATACATCCTTCCAAAAATTTCCTTTGGAATATTACCTACCACTGTTCTATATGACCGAGTCCCTCCCATGAAAGTGGAGCTTTAACCCATCCTAAAGTCAGATAATCCCAGAATGGTTTGCCTAAACAAATATATTAACAGAAGGTCTGATGAATTCACTTACCTTTTTTTTCTTCACAGCTTTTTCCTCTTTGATCTCACCATGGCTTTGATGTTTGCTCTCCATGCTGATACCTTGTTAGGTAAAAACTGAGGAAGAAAAGAGGGAAACTTGTGGTACTGTTCAGCTGAGACAATTTATTTTTTATGCTATAAAACCATAAATCTGACACAGGAAGGACTTGAAAAAGAAGCCCAGCTGCTTCCTTCAAAAGTCAGACCCTTGGTTAGGAAGGCACAGCAGCACCAAACTGAATGCAGTTAAAAGCAACAAAAAAATAATGTTAACTGTGTTTAAGTGGCCTGCTCAGAGGGCAGAATGCTCTTTGGAGCAGGAAGAGTAGTTCCTAGTGCAAATAAAACATGAAGAGGAAAAAAACTACAGCATCAGGCCCTGCAGTGGATGCACTGTGACTTAGAATAGAGGCACCTGTCCACTGCATCTACAAAAGGAGTTTAAACAGTCAGGTGGAACTACATGACTATGGCTGGGTTGAAGCCAGGATATTTGGATTAATTGGTGGTGTGACTCTAATGATTATTAGACCTTACCTTAGTTGGGACATTGCCTGAATGTATTTGCAAAGGAGATATCCATTTATTTACTGCTCTGTGAAGAAAAATCTTGACTGAACAGAGCTTTATGTGCTTTAGTAGTGTTAAAGGACATTTCAATCATCCTTTTTTTAAGAAGCTAACATGATTTCTGGGGATTCAGAGACAATGCATTAGCTGCTATTTACACTGTGCTTCACTGTATTGTCTTGGTCAGTCTGTCACTGTTTAGTAAATTTGGAATGTGGATTGCTAGGTACTTCTATCCCAACATCTTGAGGTGACAGTGGATTTCAAGAACTCTGCTTGCTTGGACATTATTGTAATGTTAGATCCAGTCTTGAATGCAAGTTGGAGTGGAATCATACTGGAAATTGTACATCAGTACAAGAGGTTATCAAAGAATAAGTTCTGTCTGATAGAAGTATTGCCATTGGCAATTATTTCAGATAATTTCAGAGGCCATTATTTCAGATTGTTCCAAGAAATCAGGTTGAGCTTTTAAGCAAGAGAGACTAGAGATGTGACAGCATCCCAAAAGTACAAAAGCCAGAAAAATTACCTCTTGCCTACCTACCTCCCAGTACAGTCAGTATAAAAACCCCATGAACAATTCCTTTCCCTCTGATGCAAAAAGCTCGAGTCAATTCCTGCTAAATTATTCTTAAAAAAGAGCTTTCAAGGCAAACGTATTTTACTTTGTGAGAGATGCTTAGTCTCAAACAGTTCACCTGTCCCATTGCTCATTTCACAAGCATACCAAAAATGTCAGACTTGCTCACTGCAGCACTCACATGATATATGCTATTTCATATATGGATAAGGTAGATAATTAAATTCATTAAGGTTCTTACAGAACCTCATGCATGAACAATGCATGATCAAACTGGAGTTCAAGAGCCTACAAGGAAAAGAGTAGGTGGGACATAGCACTGCAACAGAAACAGCACAGGCTCGGTGAAACAGTCTGCTGAGCATCTGAAGAGGCAATCACCTCACAGCTAAGCTACTAGCAAGAATAACTTGTGCTTGCCCTCCCTCACCATTTTTTCTTTTCAATATGGCTGAATCCTCCCTGTTGTTCTTTGAGCAATCTTCAGAACACTTTTAAGATGTGCCTGTTGTGCCTGCAAAGTTTAATTGCTAACAGGGCACCATCTGCAGAAGGGTTTGTATTAAACTGGTTTCCAATATTCTGGGTAACCCTAGTTTTACAACTTTTTTTAACATACCTTTTTCACTGTAGAAAAATGAATGTTATTATATCCAGGACAGACATCAAATGTGATGCAAAGAATAAGAAATCTGAACTGAGGAGGGAGTAGAAATCACTGAAATCCTGCACAGATTTGTCAATGTTACTTTTGCAGTCCTGTTGACCTGCACCCAGGGAAGAGAGACATCATTACAGCAAGCAGAAACCTCGTCTTCACATTGCAGTGTCTGACAAAAATATAAAGTAACATTCCCTTTAGGGGAATTAAAGCCTGAGGTTTGCAATGCTGCCACTAGTGGCCATTCACTGAGAAGTTTCAACAGATGGGTGGAAAAATGTATTCCTTTCCCCTGAAGTTCATATCACAGTATCAGGTAAGTTGCTTAAACTGTGGGTCCAGAAATATGAATTAATTATTTGCTCTTTGTCATGGAAGATTAGATCTGTCTACTCCCTGGCTTGTACAGTTAGTCAGGAGCTGACCCATGAATCAGGAAAGGTTCATTTATGTCAGGCCAGGGGGCACCTTCCATTGCAGGTTTGGGTTTGAACTTCTATCAAACATGCAGCCAGGAAAAACAAAAGCTATTGGAAACCTGTCATGTTCACAAAAATCAAATATGCAAAGAGAGCAGTTTCAGATGAACTCAGATTTTAAACAGCCATATTTGTTATGTTAGATGACAAAAACACCAAGGAGCTGACCATCTCAGAAAAGCTGAGTAATAAGTCACAGTTACTAAGGAAAAAAAACCAAATGACAAAACAAGAACCAACCAAACACCAAAGAAAGAAGAGTATAAGACCTAGAATAGGTCAGTTGTTGTTGTTCTCCAGTCTGAATGCAAAGCACTGTTTGGGCCAAAAGCCCAGTCAGGGACTATTTGCTATCTTGTTCAGGTCATCTGGACTTATACCAACCTGCCAGTCACTTCAACCAAGGCATAACACAAGCAAACTTCAGGAAGTTTTTCTACAATATAAAAGGTTCTGCTGACAAATTCCTCATGATGGGCATACAGCTTCCATGTCTGCCTCCCAAGTGCAAAATATATTACCTCCATAAAAATATTATGTCTGTGTCAACATGGCACTACTATGCACAGGAAAAACAAGGAAGTCCAGCTCTCAGCTAACAAAATGCACTTATAAATCAGCACAGCCTCTCAGGGATTGCTTTACAGAATAGTTTTCTTCAATTTAAAAGGAGAAAAAGAAACACTAAGAGAGACATCAATGCAATAAGGTGTAAATCACAAAGCTTTGGACAATACAGTGTAAAAATAACCTGAAGAGATTCAGTAAGTTCTATTGGGTGATAGGAGACTGACATCTGATAATTTTTGCCTTTGGGAAGGCAAATATGTCCAACTTGAGAACCTGGGTTCCTTTCTGCACTGTGTGGGAAACAGGTAGGTACTTTGGTACCTACCTGCCTTTGGTTGGTTCTTGTATTGATTCAATGCTAAAACTCTAGTAAAAGAGGCTAGAGGAGAAAAGTTTTGAATTTCAGTCCTATCCCATAGCTTGTGCTCTTTAGAGCTACTGCTGCTACCTTTTTCCACTCAACTCACAGCTGAAATTCTCTGTGGATGACCACTTGTGCCTCTCAGTAAAGGAGCCATCCTTGCAAGGTAGCAGACTTAATCTGAGGAGTTTCCTGTGCTTCCAGCTAGATGTTTCTGTCACTGGTCTATGGCATGTACCTCACTGAATGTGCTCCTCCCCTGGTGCCATCAATCACACATACACACTCACACGGAAGAAATCTACCACCAATTAATGAAAAGATTTATCAGAGCATGCAAAGTGAAGAATCCATTTCAAGTTTGTGTCCCTCAAATCAGGAACAATTTATGTATTAGACCCTGATAAGTGACATGACTATCTGGTTAAAATAGGTTTTCTGGAAGTCCATTAAGAACTGAAGGGATTATTTTTTCAAGTAGTTTTGTTAAGTTACATCTGTTCTTGTGCAAGTGGGACTGAACGAGTCAATACTGCTTATATTGTTTATGGAAAATGTCAAACAGTCACAATATAAAAATAACATTGCTCGAGTCAGGCATGGCCTGACTTTAATTTGTCACAGAGCATTCCTATGGTGCAGAACCATTTAGCAAGAGTTAATCTCAAATACTGTAGATACCTCAGCTTCCAGAAATACTTGTTCTTGCAAATAAGCAGTTGACAGTTTTTGAAAAAATGCCTGTCTCTTTTTATCTTTATCTGTAGTATCAGTCCTAAGTGTCTTTACAAGATGATGAGTTATTGTATCTGGATTTCAGTGTTTCATACAAGTGAAAATCTGATCTCTTATATTGAGAACGAGGAAGACCGAATTTCCTTTTCAATAGAAAGTGTTCTGGTTCTTTAAATATAAACTGGGAGAGAGGGGGGAAATTTATGATAGAAGTCTATTGACTAGGAGAGAAAACCAGAATTCAGGGTTAACGACTGCTTACATAGAAGTTGAGTACCTGACTAGAACAGGAAATTATTTATTTACAAATTTTGTAACATTGGTTTACACTAAGATAAACTTATTTCTCCTTCCCCAAGTCAACCCTTTGAGAACAATGCCAAATTTAAGAAGCTGGTCTGAAGTATCAAGTCCAATCCCTAGGTGCTACTCACCACTTATCCAAAGTATTCTTCACTTCCAGTGATCCCTGAAGTTCAGTGCAGTTCAGAAGCAGCCTTTTTCAGGATTGCTATAGAAGCCTTCTTCTCTGAAACAGGTTAAATAGTTGAATTCAATTCAGAGACAGCTTTAACTCTTTTATACCTTATCAGAAGTCATAAATAATTAACAGTAAAACCAAAGAATAGTATGACGCTTCCTCTGGAATTCACTCAAAATTCTTTCCTATCCAATAGAAAGCAAACTGCCTTGTATGGCTGCAATACCATACAAGAGGTCTTTGTTTCAGTTTCCACAAAATGTGAAAAAGCTTTGCTTCCCACATTTGAATCTACAGACATTTGAAATGCAAGTGCCTAAGGCTAGGACTTGCATTCATATACTCTTACCCCGTTACAAGTGACCAGGTGGAGGAACACCCACAGCATTCCATGTGCTGTAAATGGCTTTTGACAGTGATGTGTTGGTCCAGTACTCATGGGAGAGAGACAGTGTGTGGTCCTTGTCAGGAGGTTTCAAAAGCTTTGCAATGTTTTGGAAGGCTGGGACAAGACATATCGTACAGTAACAAAAAACACAGTGGTTTGTGGAAAGATTTACCTTATCTGCCAGTCTGGCTATGTGTCACAGAGATGAACTTCATATCAGTGTT